GAGATGCTACGTCATCAGCTGGCAGATGCATTCTGCGCCGGAATTAAAAGGAGAATCAATCGTGGGGATAACATCCCGTTCGCCACTGAAGAGGGAGGGGTTCTCGTCAGGAACGTAAATGCGACACCACAAGTGGTGGTACCACAGGACCTCCAAGGGAGGATTCTTTACATGGGACATCATGCACTGCTTGCCGGTCACCCCGGTGGCAAGAAGATGTTCTAAACTCTAACTAGAGATTGCTACTGGCCATCGCTGGCCGTAGATTGCTACGCAACTGCAAGAAATTGCATACATTGCGCTAAAGAGCGAGTCAAACTTCGGAGGAAGACTAAACGCCTCAAGCTGTTCCCAGCTACGGCGCCTCTCGAGTCGCTCTCGATCGATCTCCTTGGGGACTTACTCCGTACCCCTCGCGGAAATAGGTGGCTCCTGGTGATCACGGATCGCTTCTCCAAGCTGGTCCGCACCGTGCCTCTCAAGAGGATTACTGCCGCGGAAATCGCGAAGGCTTTCGTCCACCATTGGGTGTTTGTCTACGGACCACCAGTCACGGTGCTGGAGGATAACGGAAAGAAATTCGTGTCCCGACTCTTCCAAGAGATTTGCCCCATCCTGGGCATCAAGAACGTCTTTGAGACGACCTACCACCCCCAAACAAATGGGCAGGTGGAGCGCTTCAACAGGACAATACTGTCAGCGCTGCGACATTATGTCGCTGAACACCCAAAAGACTGGGACCTCTTCACTGATGCGCTTACATATGCGTACAATACGCAAACGCATAGTGCAACCAAGCTCGCGCCCTTCGAGCTCGTCTTATCGCGACCACCGCGCGCCCTATCGTTACAGGCAGAACCTCAGCTGGAGGAAGTTGGCAATGCCAAGTATCACGCCAAGTGGCGAGCCTGGCTTCGTGGACTCACGACCACTGCTACTGTAGAGTTAAAGAAGTCTCAAGAACACTATCGAGCGAACTACGATAAGCACATACGCTCTTCGAACGAAGACTACCGTCCGGGGACATATGCGTTTGTCCGTCGCGACTACGCGAATCCGCGTACAGAAGCTCGCCACAAACCGGCACCAGTGGCAAATGGACCATACCGTGTCGTTTCTGCGGATCAGGACGCCGTGGTTATCCAGGATGGTGAAGGACAAGAGCGCGTTACACGCGATCGGGTAGTACCTGCACCAGTGCAGCCAAGTCACCCCGTAACGTCATTCACGACGAATATCCACAACGAAAATCGTGTTCACTGTCTCGATAGACCGGGTATCCGGAGCGGTGCAGTATCTACCTCTCCTATAGAGCAGTCTCAGGTGCCCCCAACAGAGTTGGCGGACTTGCCAGACACATCGCCTATGAATGGCGTAGCCCAAACCGGAATTTGGAACAGAGCTCGGATTGGACAGCCACCGCCTTTGAGACGCTCTGATGGGACGACCAAAAGCCGTCCCGAACACTCCAGGCATGGCGCTCATCGCTACGCCCGGTTGGCGAATGATACTCCGGTCGGACAGGAGAAAAACTCTACACTTCCCGCTGACAGTCCCTGTGACGAGCAGACTCCCGTCTCCAACGAAGGAGAAGGAGACGCACGCCGCCAATTGGCGCCCGACGCAGCCGCCCAGAACGTCCCTGCAGTGACGGAACAACGCGCAAGTAACCCGCGAGGAGCCGCGTCTAACACTACAGCGAGAAAAGTGGACGGGATCAGTCGCAATCTCCACACGCCATCGATGGCGAAGAATACGTGGTTGACCACGTCGTCGAGCATCGCTATGATGACGACGGTAAACTCGTCTTTCGAGTAAGGTGGTACGGCTACACGCCGGAGGACGACACTGAAGAACCAATTAGTCACCTCCGACGGAGCCATGTAATTTTATATTGCAAAAGAAAGGGATTGAATGTCCCACACTCAATCATCCGAACAAGACAAGGATCGATTCAAGACAAAGGTGGTTCCTCTTTACCTTAAAAAGAATGACTACACGCCCTATAGCGCTAATGTACGCAAGCTACCGCTTCGAACTTACCGCCAGATGGCGTTGCGAACACCTCATGGAGCAAAAAATAGCAAGGTGAACCCGGTCTGCCATCGCGTCACGCAAAAATTTGCGTACGACGGCCATTTCGTTGTCCACAATATCACGAGCCGGAGGAGCCCGGTCGATAAGTATACCGGACCGTACGGTGTCGCCCGCCACGCTGGCATTACTCTTATTGAGTACAGGACCTCCTCCCGGAAAGGGTGTCTCCACGGACGCCACTTGGCGAAGTTCAAAATCCTTTTCGTCATCTTCGACGTCCTCTTTTCGAGAGTCCTCCGGTTGGAGTCCACTAACGTCCGGGGAAAAGCATTACTCTTTTCCCCGGCGAGGACCGTCAGAAATAACACGCTTCTCATCAGCGAACTTCCTCGCCCTTTCTGGCGTCCATTCTTCCTGCTCCCCCGGAAAGCCTCCGCTGTGGGACCCTCGGATGGAGAACCCGCTCGCAAATATTGCGTAATTATCGCGTCATCGCGATAGATCACGGGGTCGTGCTACGGCGCCTCCGTGAGGAGCTGGGCCTGCTCAAATGACCCTTGCCCGAACAAATCGCCAACCTGGCGGAATACGCGATGACGCGCGGAAGCTCGGATGAACCCGTTTTGGAAGCCCTGCAGCCGAGACATAGCGCGAAGGACCGCGGTGCGAAGCTGTGAGACTGAGACGAACACGGAAGAAAAAAATGACCGCAGAAGATGAAACGCACGCGGAGAAAACAAATCGCGAACAGAAACGCACGCGAAAAAATCGCGAAGATCTCAGTCAGAAACGCCGCCGTCGGCGCAAATACGCCCGTAGCCGCGAGAGTCGTTGGACTGGAGCGCCAAGAGAGGCGGAGGAATGGAGACATGCGCAGGTTTGCGAGGGCAGGGAAAGGTGCAGGGGTAATGGAGCGCGTTCCAAAGGCGGATCGGCACGACCCTTGAAGGGGGGGGTGATGTAGTGCAGTGACCCTGTACTGTACGCCTGGTCACCGCCGTTGGGGGGCCGCGCTCCCCGCCTTTGACACGTGTACTGTCCGCCCACACTTCGGAAAGTACCCCACGTGTGCCACACGTGGACACACGTGTATGGCAGTCGTATGACACGTGTATGATACGTGTACAACACGTGTACGAGACGTATACATACGTGGTGGCCACAAGTTTCTACCTTAATTAGCGTCTAATGCCATGTGGCAATTCAAATGACAATAATTAATTATTAAGTACCCATTTAGTAACCGATGCCGACGACGGAGCTCGGCCTATATAGGTCGGGGGTCGGAAGGCGCCACAGTGAAGAGGCATCAGGTGATCGGACCCCATCTCTGGTCGGATCCTCTACGGTTCCTATCTGGTTGGCTAAGTCTGGTACCTACAACCTTCACCGTCATCCTTTTTCTTGTTTTTCCTTTACTTTTTCCACTATTTTCTACATTTCTACACTATCTTTCTTCTTTGTTCTTTCTTGTTTACTCTTTCTAGCGCACTCCCGCTGGAGTACACCTCTACGCGCACACCGCGATCTACCCGCAGTACCGCGTCGACTCCCCTGAGTTACCCGGACAGAGGGACTCAAACACCCTGGTGGCGACTGTGCCTTGTGTCGCGCTTTCTACAGCGAGATTTACGCCCTTGCTGGCGGTGTAGAGGTGCCCTGCACTACACTATTAACGGTTTTGCTTAAGTCGTGGAGACCGTTGATGCCAATGAAGCAACTGCGCTGGACCGGCGGTGTAGCGCCGGAGATCTAACTAGTTCCGCACGAAAGCGCCGTTTCTCCACTATAAGTGGCGGAGAAATGGACGACAGCGATTCAAAAGATCTTGAAACGGGCGCTGGTTCTGAGTTAATATCCGGAGAGTTGACATTTAAACCGCTGTACATAATTTCGAGCTGGGTCGAACAATCTACCGTAACAAAGCGACTCTGCGTTGCCATTATATTACCCTCCGGCGGCTGTGTGGGCAGCGGGAAATTTTCAATTACGGTCGTAAATGGAGGACAGTTTTTACAGTTAGCAGTGCGATGCCCACACCCTCTCATGGATGTACTAGCTATGCACCGTTGGAAACTATCCGATGCGCAAAGCGGTTTTATGTCCTATCACCCTTTAGTCCTTGGATTCGAGGCATCCTTAAGCGAGCTTAGAAAACGAAGCTCAGATGCAGTGGAATCCGTAGATCGTATTCTGTTGCCCTGTGCTGTACAATCACAGGTCGTCTCAAAGCATAATCTAGCCGTTAAGGAAGGTGGTGGAACTAAGATGCTTTATGACCTAACGGCTGCCGCAGTGGAAGAATATGGTGTTGTCGCAGATACGGATGCTTTTACGGAAGTTCGATTTCTCTTTGTGGTGGGGAATACTAGAATAAACTCACTTTTCGCGTCCCCCGGAGCGGTCCGCCATATTTGTAGAGTACCACAGCCGGCGTCGATTGACGGCGAGGAAAATGTATCGGAGGACAGTGGAAGTCAAGATAGTGAAGAGGTAAAAAACGTTCGTGGGCTGGAGGGGTACCAAAGCGACTGGCAAGGAAGTGAAAGATCAAGTGGATAGCATGCACGTACCTGGACCCAGTCGACCGTAACGTATATAAAACTATATATATATTTATAAATTTATATATCCCAGGACACAGCGTGAAGATTGACTTTCGTCGAGTCGTAGTGAATTACCCAAAAGTATCGCCTGTCTTACCGCCAAGTAAAAGTAGTGAGTACTGTACCAAGGAAGGGTACTGTAGCACTAAATAAAAACTTGGCACGTATGCCACGATTCACATATTCTACAGTATGAGATCATGATTGGCTATGATAGATCGATCTCGCTTCGGAGCTAATCGCACCCCAAACTCATTTCTACACCCAACCCAGGTCTTCCGACTGCGCCCCTCGTAATTTTTCCGACCTTGCAATCACGAACAATCACCACTTTCCTTCCGTCACCCTTTTCATTTCATGAACATGTGGTCGCTGTCTCCGGCCTTCACCCCGCCGGTCTCCCTCCCCAACATCGCCCCGCAACAACGTCGCTCTCAGTGTAGTCGCACCCCACCCTTTGCCAAGAAGGGCTCCTCGGGGAAGAAGAGAAGCAAAGTCTCACGACCAAAGCGAACCCCGTCCAACTCGCAGTCAAAGCCGTCCGCTTCTCCTACATCCCGCCAGAAAAAGTTCTCACCTCTTGACGCTCCCCCCGAGCAATTTCCTGGTCCCCTGGCCCCCGAAATTCTTGGAGAGTCAGTCGAAGCAGTTGACGAGATCCCAGTTAATGACAACATCAAAAGCGCTGCCGATGTCGAGATTTCCCTTGCGAGTGATGTCCCCACTGCCACAGATGTCGCCCTGCCACAAGTTGACGAGGGCAAGCTACGACTGCCAGATATAGGTTCGATGGGCTCCGGGAGAGCCATCCGCCGAAAACGTAAGCCGCGTGCATTGGAGGACGTCAAAGAAGAAAGGTCGATAGAAGTGGAAGAGGCGAGGAAGGCTTTACCTACAAATACCATTCGAGAACTGACGCAGGCATATAGGAAGAAGGGGAAAGAGGCCCAAGTGCTAATCGACGAGCTTGAGAAAGACCCAGATTTTATGTTTCAGACCGGCAATCCGGAGGGGGAGTACGATCTCACCTCCGCCATCATTGGCACTGGCAGTCCAAATAAGCAAGGCGTTTATGTGCTACCGTATTTGCAAAGCGGTCATCTCCTTCTGTTGCTTGTCACTTTGCTCTGTACCTTCGTGTACTATCCAGGATTTCCGCTCACAGAGTTAGAGGACTCCCTGCGTGGTTATCTTAAGGTCGGGCTTGCGATTACATATACCCTCAACGCGGGTCTTGCCATTCTGGCGTTCAAGGACGCACAGAAGAGAGGACAGCCCGCTGCCTTCTGGGCACTCAAGACAGCATTCTTTGGGAATATTGCGTTCAATGAGCTCAGGAGAAATGCACCATTATCGCCAAAAAGCGGGAAATGAACGGCTCGTTCTGCTTGTTGCTTTTTGAATGTGGGATGGTGCACACATGTAGGGTTTCAGATACTCGATTGTTGATCACATTTACAAGCCGGGGCAAAGAAATGAGTTTTATTCTATGGGCAGACTGAGAAAAACAGTCTGCGAGTTGAGCCGCCAGAGCATGAGATTACTATTGTTCGAAATTCAGTGCTTGAGAGGGCCATTGGCTTTCTCAACTCGGAAACTTGCTAACTATTGGGCAACGCGACTGTGAGATGGACATTGACAGTGGAGTTTAGGAGTGAAGATGAACTATTTGCGGAGAAGATCTAAGTAGTAGCACGGCTAAAGACTTCGACATCCTTCTTCCGCTCTCTTGGGCTTCTTTTCGAAGTGGCAAAAGCCTTTTAGACCGAGCTGAGAAGTGCAGAATTTGGAGCAATAGGGATGTGTCTCTTGATTGCACCTCATAGGACTGATGTGGGACCGACGTCCTTCCGACAGGCAGGTTCCTGTTTTGTTCGATCCCATGAAGAATAAAAATAACCGTGTACTGTTCATTGCTCGCGCGCTTTGGCGAGATTTCTGATGTGTTGCACGTAGAGCGATGTTTCAAAAAATAAGGGCTTCAGAGAAAGCCACGACTGAGAAGCAGGATTGGTTCGGGCTTTGGACAAGAAAAATAAGCGAAATGGTAGGCAAAAGCCTGGCGATCCCATTTTGAAACCGAAGGCGAGAGTCAAGAATTACTGAGGTTTACTCAATTTTCTTGTGGTCAACGTCTTTGGGTTCGGTTTCCTTCTTGAGATCGTTCACTTCCTCGCTCGGGTGTGCTTTTTGTTGGGCCTTAAGGTTTTTGGACTTTGTGTACGACCTGAAGTAAAAGTCGCAGAAGAGCTTGAAGAATGAGGCACCGACAGCCTGTCCGAAGAGCCAACCGCGCATGGAGCCAGAGCATCCGGAAGCAGAGAAGTAAAGGAAGGGGTACGGCCATGTGGAGGTAAGGTCGATGATAAATTGGACGATTTGCGCGAGCGTGATGTACTTCTTCCACCAGACCTTGTGGCCGAGCGCGGCCATCGCGTAGTAGTAGTACATGGCAACGTGGACGGAGGAGTTTGCAACGACGACAATCCACTGCAACACCATGGATGTGGACATGTAGACATAGAAGAGCGGGAGGACGATGCAATGATGGTAGACGTGGAGAAAGTTGAGGGGGCGTTTCTTCAATACCATAATGACAGTATCAAGCAGCTCATAGTATTTGCTGACGTAAAAAACGTACATCCACCAGCCCATGCGCCCTGTCATGGAAGCGCCGGTGGGATCGCAGAGCACGGCGTTGGTGCCAGCGAAGGGGTTTGAGGGGGTGGCGTTAGCGGCGAAAACTTTGACGACTTCGGAGAGGACGCCCACGCCCATGGCAAGGGAAAGGGCGCACAGGAATACATTGTGAAGGACGGTGAGCGAGCGCAGCTTCACGGGTGGGCGGTCGCGCATGAAGCGACGAAGCGAAAAGATTAGGGTAAGGTAGCAAACAATGGCGATGGGGGGGTAGTAGACAGAGGAAAGTGGGGCGGTCTTCCAATGTAGGGTGACCGGGATTAGGGATTTGAAGAAGGCTAGGGTGGCCATGGTGGGGGTGGGTGGGATGCGTGCGGGAGGTTGGGAGGGAGGTTGGGAGGGGGAGGTTGGGAGGGGGAGGAAGGGGCGGCAGTGAGGGCGGGATACGGAGATTTAAAGGGTGCGAAGAGGGGAGGGAGAGGAAGGGGACCAGGATGATGGGGACTAGGATGAAGGGATTGACGGGCAAATACGGTTGACTGCGCAAGTGGTGGACTGGATAGTTGCGGTAGAGATGGTTTGACGAAAGAATATGAGGGGTTGAAGGTGCTCGCGGGGGTTAAAGTCAACTTGGATGCGGGCGCGGATCGAAGAGAGAAAGGCGGATAAAATTGGGGCCATCTCTTTGACGTGTGCACAGTGCGGATGCGGGGCGATGGCTGGCTGTGTGCGACGCAACTGGCACCACGGGATTAGGGGATTAGGGGATATATATTCCCCTAATCCCTACCCTAGGGTAATCCCCATATTGCACCACGGGATCGGTGAGCAGCTCTGTTCAGTCCCATTGGACACACGTGGACAGCAACAGGACAGCAACAGTCGCAGCGTGCGTCCCCACAGGTCCTTCCGAGTTGCGCACGTGGACACAACCAATCGCGCACTCACAGTGTGCCCCGCTCTACACATCTTGGATTTGCTACGCGCCATGCCTGGCAGCAAGCGTTGCTGCGCTTTTTATACATTTACTGATTTATTCATTACGGCCGCGGCATCCTCGCCTTTTGCTACTTCTGCTAGTCTGTTTGCAAGCAGGGTTGAAGGCGGTCAGTAGCCAACGAGCCGGCGACTCGCAGGCTAAAATTACACAACATTCGAGCATGGAAGAACTGAGCCGGATGTCTTTGCATGATCAATACTCACCCATCTTGGCTTCCCATTGATTAACATCTCGTCGTCTACGCCAGAGTCTCCTCGAGCCCCTGCAATCAACATTTTTTATCCTGGAGACAAGTCTACCGTACGGGAAAGTAAAGTAAATTTGTAGCACCTTGATGAGTACTGTAGCACCTTGATGTCGGCATCATCACACGCTCCAACCTGGCTGACCGCCATCTTGCGACATGTGTGGCAAATTTCTATAATCCAAAACTCAGGACCAAATTTCATTCGCATTTTTCCATACAGTGCCTGACATCAATGTAACAACTACCCCTGGGTATCGTCCTCACTTCCGTGCCCCCCTCTCCGCACCATCCCCGCTCTCCCCGAGGGAATGGCCCTGCCTCCGGACCTCCCCGAGCAGAACGGCCTTCTCTCCCCTTCGTTCTCCGAGGACCCAAGTTTGTGGTCGTCCCTCGGCCTTTCCAAGGCCGCTTTCGCCGCCGGTCTCCCTTCCCCCACCCTCGACGTCACCGCCCTCGCCACCCAGCTCTCCGCCCCGGCACTATCCGATCCCACCGCCTCATGGCAAGCTGCTGTAGACGCCTCCCTGCAAGCGTACGCCCAGGAGTACGGCCATCTCCAATCCCTGCTGGACTTCCACGCCGTCGAGATCCCAAAGCTCGAGCAAGCCGAGGCTGCACTGCGCGAGCTTGAGGACTCGCTCCACGCTTCTGAGAGCGCTGCGGCCACGCTCCAGTCCAAGGCGGATGCAGTATTTGCTACTAAGGCCGCCACGCTAACCACCCAGACACACGTCGCGGCTTTTGTCGATCAGATCGTCCTCGATCCATATTTAATCCGCCACGTCGTGGATGGGAAGGTTGGTGATTTGGATTATGAAGAATGTTTGGCCGCACTGTCAAAGAAGACCGCGCTTTTCGATATGGAGGACGTGAAAGAGACCGCGGCTTTCGCAGAGCTCAATCCTTATCTTGGTAAGCTCGTCATTACCGCTGTCAGCAAGGTGCGACATTTTCTCATTGACAAGATATCCCTTTTGAAGCGTCCTCATACGAACGTGAAAATTGTAAAGGAGAACGTGCTGCTGAAGCATAGACCGTTGGTTGAGTTTATCGAATTACACGCGCCGGATGTTTTTCGAGAGGTGAAGACGTCGTATGTTGATACCATGTCCAAGACGTACTTTATTTTGTTCAAGAAGTATTTAGCAGGGTTGCTCGCCATGAAACAACAGCTTCCGAGTGAGAATGCCGATACTCTCGTCGGCAGTCTTACAGACTCGACCATTGGGCGTGCATCTCAAACGATCACGGGAATGTTTTCTAGTGCAAGCACATCGGCAGCTACTTCCCGGTTTTCGGGTATGACCAATGGGGGTGGAGCCGGAGTTGGCCAATTCGCCCTCGGTTCAAGGCTTGATGTTCTGAAGGATGTTGAGGGACCTGCGATTGTACTTGCGACTGCCCTCGACAACAACCATCGTTTTTATTACGAGCAAATACACCGCAGTCTCGGCAAGATGCTCTCTGAGACCTGCGCGTCGGAGCACCTCTTTTGCGAACACTTTTTTGGGGAGAATGGTGGCCGGATGTTCAATGCTTTCTTCAGAAGGATTATAGGCTTTCTCCTGGACGCGGTCTCTGCTCACACTGCCCCCACCAAAGATACGCTGGGCGTGCTACTGGCTTTGAAAGTAAATGAAGCACATCGATCTAGCATGCAGAGGCGCAACATCCTTGATCTTTCAGATTATTTCATCCAAGTTGACATTCTGCTCAAACCCAAATTCAAGAAACTGTTGGACGAAAACGTTAATAGCATGTCGGAAGCGAGCAAGGAGGTCACAAAATCTGCCCCACGCGGTGACGGCGATACCAGCCCACATATTGTGACACGCCGCTTCGCCGAGTTCTTAGCATCCCTTCACGCCATTGCACGTTTCGGTACCCCTGATGATTCGATTATGGAGGGGCTGAGGAGGCTGAGAGCGGAATACAATGGTTTCCTCAACGCTGTATCGACGCTCTTCACTAGACCCAAGTTGAGGTTCATGTTCCTTATCAATAACACTGATTTGGTGCTATCCATGTTTCGACAGCATGGGGTTAACGATACTGATGATTACAACTTCTTTGCAGAGCTTCAAGAAGTACATACAGCAGCGTATGTAGAACACGAGGTTGCGGATCACTTTCCTGATGTCGTTTCATTTGTCCGTCAGTATGAGAGGACAGCCAAGGCTTCCTCTTCAAACGGAGGTGGAAGCCGCCCATTTCCGAGTGAGGAGCGTGTGAAAGCGGTTTTGCGACAATTTGCTTCAAACTGGAGACTTGGAGTGCAGCACATGCAAGACAACGCAGTCCGAGAGTTTCCTAGCTTTGATGTTGGTTCCGAACTCGCCCGTATGCTATTCACGCGCCTCTATTCCTACCACAAACGATGTGAAGCTGCTGTGGAAACGCAATATCCAGTTCTGAAAGCTGAGCTTGTGACGAGCACAGAAATACTCTACGAATTGCGACAACGTAGTCAGCAGTTTGCTACCTGAGGCAATTGCATAACTGTGAACGCACAAACGAACTACACGGGGAAGGCTGGCGTGGTTTTACGCTTTATTTTCGCGTAAACATACTATTTACATATCCGTCTCGGCTCGGCCTCCTAAAACTTTCAACAAGCCCCTCACGGTTGTTGGTGCCTTCGTTGGGCGCCGCTGTGGGACCCTTCCAACTCTATTCGTGGTTGAGCTCCTTTTCGGCATAACACTGTTAACTCGGGGCTTCAGGGCTTGGTAAGTTGAACCAAGCGAAGAGCCTCCTGTACCAGAAGACACGCTGCGTGCCGTTTTTGTGTGAGGTTTGTCTTTGCCGCTACGTGTTGCGAAAGACCACTTTCCAACAGATACGGATCTCTGCCGTTTTCTCTGCCTCTGCTGCATTGATGCGTTCCGCCTCTCCCACTCCGGGACAGATGCATCCAAGGCCCACGGTGAGCTGCGTTTCTTACCAGTATTATTTTGATCCCGGCCTGACTTTGATCTATCGTCTATATCCTTAAGCGATGCCGGACGGCAAGCACTTTCGAGCTTCTCCCGAAAATGGGTACTTCGACTCTTGTCAGCATCACCAAAGATATCGAAACGAGACAAGCTGTTTTCGTCTTCCAGGAATAGACTGGTTTTAGATTTCTGCCGCGCCTTCCACAGGGCTCGGGCCTTATCTCGCTTGGCGGTCTTCTCGTCACCGCTCTCTTCCTTTTCCTGCTCGTCTCCCTCCAAATTTCTGGAGCGACTGTCGTCTCGCAAGAACCTATTCATCAGAATGAAAAGGAGAATAATGCATGCAAAGAAAAAGAGGGGTCAGTCGGGGTCATTCTCAAGCAACATTGGCGCTAAGCTGTATAAATACGCAATTAGAGGTGCATTCGCCGCGCAGATACGTACATGGCATCGACGTAGTCCCCAGAGCCGTGCTGGATTTTTTCAGGCACTCCACCTACTTCGCAAGTGCCCACATCCGCCTCTGAGAGGTGTTCCTCTTCCTCTAAGGGTTCCTCTTTCTTCGTCTCAGTATCAGGTTTCGATCGTAATTCCGTAAGATCCATAGCCTCGTCGACGACATTCACCATCATGCGCCCAGGAACGGTTTTCATTGCCTCCAACTCGCCCTTTTCTTTATCTAGAATCCATTTCTGGTGAAAAGCTGAGAGTTTCTTGTTTTCAGATGGATTGATGTTCTCTTTCTCTGCAAGTTCATCGTACTCATCTTCGTCGTTATCTGCATCGTCGTTTGACGCTGCTCCACCACCGCAATCGTCCTGTCCATCCCCGTCATCGTCATGAGCTTCTTCTTCAACAAAGCCTGTCTTGAAACGTCGTTCCGGTGCTTTCACCTCCGGGCTTTTTTTCCATCCTATAAACCAACTGCCTTTTCGCAACTTTTTTTCGCCTGGGACATTTATTTGACGTGTATCGCTTGTAGCTTCCATGGTAGACTGGTTTGTTTCTTGCGGGGCCTCAGGAGCAACTTGATCTTCGGTGCTAGCGGTGTCGTTTGTAGTCTCCTTTGCTTCAGTTGCATGACGAGATGCGTCCTGTTCCGCTTGCTCGGAAGCCCGCGCTCCATTCTCGGGTGCATCGCACTTGTTGGTGACAACACAAGGGGTGTTATTTTCGAGGACGTCTTCTGGTGTGGCGAGCGGAAGGTCATCCATGGCGTCTTCGTACTCCTCTTCCTCTTCTAGCTGAGCAGTTTTGAGCGCAGCTTCTTCTTCATCCTGTTCAACACCATTCTCTGCACCCAGGTAACCCGAACCCGGCCGATTCGGGGGCACCTCATCTTCATCTTCATCTCTATCCGACAAGTTCCCGCCCTCTTCTCTCTCGTCAACCTTCCCATCTTCAAGCGTGCCCGGGTCCTCCGAGCAAGGCTCCATCGGAACGTCGTCGACATCGAAGCTCTCCGGCCGGATCTCCAGCAGCGTCTTTGCGGCCTTTTCCTTGGCGCGTTCAAGCTCCCTCCTCCTCCAGAGCTGCCTTTGAGCAGCCGGGTTTAGCTTCCGGGTCGGAGGCGGGAGCACGACGAGCTCGTCGTCGTCTTCACCGCTCAAGCAAAAGGACCCTTCTGAATCCTTGAGGGTGGAAGTGGTGTCGACTTGCCGGAGCTTGGCTTTGTAGTCAGCATCCCAGGAGACTTGAGGCGCGCCGACGGCGAGTGCGGCAGCGCTCAACTCCGGGTCTGCGAGAGGAGTTGCCGCTGACCTTTGCTTCGCACGCTTTGCACGCAGAGCGGCGAGCTTCGCTTTTACGGATGACATGACGGATGGGGGAGCGGAGGAGGTTAGAGGGATGCTGCGATGGGACGCCGAGGCTTCCGGTTTCGGGGAATGTATGTATCTATGCCCGGCATGTTGAGCTGAGTCAAGAACAATATTCTTGTGCGGGTGACTGGCTGGCTATAATGTCCGTTTCGTCATTTGGTTTCACTGGTACTTGGGTGTTCGCGCCAAAACGTATCATCGCGTTTCAGCCGAAAAACAATTAGAAAATAGATGAAATTGGAGGCAGCCTTGTAATCATACGAGCACAGAACGGCACTGAATGTTGAAGCCGTCCACTGGCGGGAACGGATTCGAAAACCCTCGCTTCTGCGCCTGTCTGAGGCACTGCAGCTATCGCCTGTGCACACTATTTGGTTCACGAAGGGCATGCTCGTCCCTTTCGAAACATAGCCGCTAATAAGGCGCCACAATAGGGAGTTTACGAAGCTCCAATTCTTCCTCAGCGCTCCTGTTACGCGCAAGGCTGCCACTTTCGTTGGTATTCTCGTTTGCCAGCATCTGTTCATTTGGTGCCTACCGAAACATGCCTGAAAGACGAGTTAAGAAGTGCGCTGGTGCTCACGTCTTTTCAAAATCTGCCCCTCAGTGGTGAAGTGGCAACATATTCTTGAGATGCTCTGAGCCCGGCTCGAGAGCAGTTCCCTTCTGAAAGTATTCTGTGCCACAGCTTAATTTACAGCTGGCGATACCTTTTACGATGTTAATGACCCTCCACAATTTATGTCGATCGATATCGCATTAACTGCCCCGCCTGAGCAACAAAAGTCCCGGAGACGCGTGTTAAACACAATAGCAAAACACAGGGAACTGAACGAAATAATCGACGGCAGTTCATGCCGGGGCTGTCGCAATGACAGCTTTCTTGTCCACTGATATCCTTCGTTTTTGACGTGCCTCTGCGTGTACAGCTTCTCTCTCTTGGTTGGACGAATCACGTGAAACCCTACGCACGCACGTTTTTTTTTTTTTTCTCTCCCTACGCTCAAACCATTGGCCTCCCACTCATCACATACCAGGTGACCCTCAACTTTCATCATAGCGGGTAGAATAATCGGTGAAGGCCTGCTTCGTAGAAAGGCGAATACCGTGCAACGACCACATACGGTACTCGAGCTGACCGTAGGTACTCTACTCGGAAGTCTAGAAGTGTGCATGTTGAATTTCCTCCTGGGCTTGAGAATTCCATCTCATGCGCCAGTTATAGCCAGCCATAGAGCGCTTCCATCAGACAGACCAAATCGCCATCATGCACATCACCTCATTTTTCACTATGTAGCAAATATGACGCGAAGACCTCAGCACACTTAACGACGCCTCATTCCATGCGGGAAAACCCTCTCCGCCCATCTGTCTCATGACATCTCCGATGTGACAGCCGCTGTCCCTATTCAAAGTATTCCCGCTGCACTACAAAGTATGAGAATATCGACAACGTCCGCGCTCGCTCGTGTACGTGTCCTGTGTCCTTCAACTCAATCCCGGCGCAACTGCATTCTTTTCCTAGCCGCTGCAACTATCCTACTGGCAATATTCCCGATTGCCCGAGAGTTGCGCCCATCCACTCAGCCAGCTGACTCGTGCCACCTCATCGGCATCAACCCCGCCGCGAAAGAGCTCTGGCAATTTAGCACCCGCTCTCTCTGCCTCTCCTCCTCCATTTGTCTCAACGCTGGGTATCCGGGCGGTGCACTCTACCACGCTTCAAGCCTCTCTTCGACCAAGTGTCACGTCGATAACCAGGACTTCTCCGCAACCAACGTCAAGTGGCCCTCACTTCTTAATTCCACACAGCACACATGCAGCGATTTCCAATACGGTTTCGTATATTGTGCTCATGGGACTGACTTGCGCCGTGCCCTTCCAGTCTGTCCCAAAGTGCGGCCCTTGTCCATATCAGTCCTTCAAACAGCGAGATGGTACGAGGACATATCTATTCTTATTCCTGATTATGCCTATAGCCGGAACATGTATCATTTTGCGAATCCAGTCTTGGACTTGGTCCGTGTGGTTGAACATTTGGAGGTATTGCTGGACCGCTGGGGCAAAGAGAATGTTCGCGGCCCGGGTGGTCTACCGTATTTCAAGTCAAGAACTGCTCGAGTGAAGCAACTGCGCCTTTTTTTCCAAGGATCAAAAAGCATCCCTCTAGCGCACCGATGGAAAAGGGAATTCATGCTCATGTTGATCCAAGACCGAATGGAGCAGAGGGGATTGAACGTGACCTTGTATTTTCTCCCGGATATCGATGATCAATCTGGGCATCTTTGCTTTCGAAATGCCTTGATCATGGGACGAAGGGGCCACTATGATGTGTGGCCATTTCCTAATTCAACCGAAGTACCTCTTGATGGGTTTTCAGTGCCTGAAGAGGCTGTGTCGCTAAAGCGAACAGTCTATAAAAACTTGGACATCCGAACTCGTCTACCAAGTGCTCATCACCAACAAGCAAAAACCGCGGTATCTGAAGTCCCTCCACTTACTGTTGCATACGCGAAGAGAGAAGGGAAACCATCTTCCGACGGGCATTATAAAGCCGGAGCTATGCGGAAATTTTTTGACGACGATGAAAAATGGTTCGCCGACATGCTGAAGAACGAAACAGATGCAGCAGGCGCAAAGCTTGTAGTCATATCAGCGTCGTCGGCTCAGAACTTGACGACGCAGGTGAAAGACATTTTCCAAGCCGGTTTCATAGTTGGAATCCATGGTGCGAATCTGGTGAATTCCATGTTCATGCTACCGTTTGGTGTGTTAATGGAAATATTCCCGAATTCTGTCGATCACAAATGTTATATGGCGGGATCCAATTCCGGGCTTAAGTACTTGAGCTTCGAAGCAAGTGAGCAAGCAGGCGTTGTTGAAAGCGGGTGTTACTACAAAGACTCATTCTGTAAGAGCGATCCTCGACAGAGGCGAGTCAAGCTTGGAGCAATCGCAGATCGCACAATGGTTCGAGAATTGTTCAAAGAAGGCATACAGCATTTACTGCAGCTTCGGAGAAGGTTTCCGGATGGGATTCCAGTAAGATACAATCGCGGTACCATGTATTTCGAAATTAAGGAGTCGGTGTGATGTGTGAATGTGTGACGATTGCTGTGGGGTTGGATCTGTTCTAAAACCTAAGACATATGTGCACAGTGAGCTCTCGAACATATAGCACTATATGAGGACATTTCCGAAACCTCTAATTGCGCAATCCAACATGTCCACTATACAGCACCAACGGTACCCTTGGGTGCCGCAAAGTGCTACGTGCTGTTGAGACTGCGTTTGATTCGTTCTTAACGCAAAGCCTATCGTCACGAGCCTAAATTCAGAGTGCCCTCCATTAGTACTGTAGGACACTGCTAGCAACATTCATGTACATACTGTACATCACAAGTCTTGTTGAACAGAAATGGGAAATATCTGGATTGGGCAGTGATACAGTCCGGACTGCCTCTCCCTTGACGTGAAAAATTGGCGTCGTCTTTGACAGGTGCTGCACTCCAAATGTTTAGTGATGTTGCTCCAGGTATTCTATGTAAGGGCAATACCCAGGTAAAGGGCAACGTATGAAGAAAATAGCTAGACAAAAATAAGAACTCGTCAAGTACACTTCAAAAAGATACATAAAATGTTCGCGGAAACAGAATGAAAGGCCTGCAAGCCAGCAGAACAGCTCGAAGATGGAAGAAGGGTGCTCACGCATGAAGATGTAACTACACACCGAAAAAAGAACACAGGCAATTTAAAACATTGGTGATGCCTCAGCCACGGGTTCCGGTGTAGTAAACAATTCCGGGAAGCATGTTCGAACGGATTGGAGGGAGAACTTGACACACTTTGTATTTCCCGGTTCACCAAAGCAGCGATTCGAGCGACAGGAGCGGCGTGTTGTGCATGGTGCACATTCCCTCTGGAAGCAGGGGTCTCTGTCCACCCTCTGCATTGAGGTGATGCACTTTCTCTTGTAGCACACACCGATTTCACACTGCCAGTGGAAATAGCAAGACTCGCACTGTTGCTTGTTGAGAGTAGGATTTCGAATCACGAATGGCAATCCCAAAAAGTTGCCGTGGGAGAATCCCATAAGGGCAACAAGGACGAGAAGGGAAGCAAAACAGCGAGAGGAAGACATTTCTTTGGAAGGATTAGGTTTGGTCCGAGATGAAGTGGGTGCGGTGAATTCGAGTTTTGGTGCTTTCAAAATTGGAAAAGACGGGAGTGAAAGGCTGCAGAAACTATGCGAGCTCTAGATGTGCAAGCGAGCGCGCACATGACTGCAACCCTTTATATTGTGCGAGAATGTCTTATATTTCTGTACCGTACGCACAACTTCTCCCGTATGCACGCTTCATGATCTAGACGACGACTATGGGGGCACAGCATGCCCTTCTCATGATACATAAAAGCCCCATAGAATGGTTTGGCAGATGGCAGATGACAGTTCGGTTTGTCGGGCGTATGGCAATCTCCCTTGGGGATTGGACGAGAACAACACACTGTGCTTTTGGTTCGTGGCATTGCGTTTTTTCACGCGCCGCTGCTTTTCTGTACACGCAAAGAGCTACTGCTGGGGAGCTCTGCGTGTAAGGCATGAACGCCGCCACGCGCTGTGCGCTCTCCTTGTGACTTTCCATGGGTGGTTTCTTCAAGCATGGAATAACGAGTGGTCTACCTCTTGAAAGATGAAAAAGCTGTCCGCTCTACTAGAGCCAAGTGGTCATCCCGCGGCACGTCTCGATCAGTTGTTATTTTCTACGTTTTCCATGCGCGACAAAACCTTCAATTCCAAAAACATGACACTACTGTATGTCACTCTTGACAGCAAAGTGACACCATTCCCCTCTTTTGTCAGCTGTTACCCATGGCTCTTCCTCAGCAGCCACATGACGCCGTCCTGGCTGCCCAACTCGTAGATATGTGTTAGTCAGAGGTCCTGTCGTTGCGAACTCAGAATTAATTAGAAGGTAGGCCCACTCTTCGAATGATTGCTCACCCGTGATCGTCAAGTCAATACTGGATATGGCGTAGACTTGATAATTCTGGACTGTAAGTTATTTCAGCAGAAGGCTTGAGACTCTACAATACACCCACTGGTGAGGGAAGGGTAGTTTTTGTCTGGATGTAAATTTCAAGCTTCTCACCCACCACAGTCCCCAAGTCCTCGCTATCGCGTCCTGCATGTGTGCACGTGGTTTCTATTACAGTCCAGGAGTTGCGATGCGCTTCATTCAAAATCTAGTGGGGAGGGGGCCCCACAACATGTAAGCACCCATGGTCATCATGCAAGAATGAATTATATTGAATTTCTGGTTTCGGGGAAGAGGTAGAAGGATTTGTCCAGGAGGCACTCCTTGTCTTTGCAATTATTAAGTTCTCAGGTTCAGAAACAATGTTTGCCTTCTGCCTGGATGGAACCAAATCACAAGCCTTCATCTGTGCACTGATTGTACCCTGGGCATTGGGTACCAACGCAATTGCTTTACTTTAACATGGAAAGGTATATAGAGGGCAGTCTCTGTGCCTCTACGGTAACAGGGAGGACATCCTCTCCGCGCACAGTTTATCTCGTGTCTGGTGGACATGATATTGTACAGTACTGTACTGCAGTCATCAGTGAACGTGAGTCACTACCGCACAGTACATACAGAACTTTATGAACGGACCACTTCTCAAGGGATCCTTACGTGTCACTTGACGTTCAACGAGCAAACGTAATGGTTTTATGCAAGGGTTTCAGGGGTGCCGGGATTCCGCAATGGTATTGCGGGGAAGGTAAAACTTCTCTTAGTACTTTCTCATGCAGGAGAGCATCTGTTCTCCTCTCGAGCTTTCTACCTTCTTCGCGTTTGCTTTGGTTGCAATGGTTATAAGCAGTTCTGTAGAATTACAACACGCGATGCGATTGCATTCCACTAAATGTTGAGCCTCTACCGCTAGAACAACAATTAGAGAGAAGTTATCGAATACTTGCGACGAGTACTTATTCTTGGCCTCAGTTGTGATGCACACCCTGCTGTCAATTCTGACGGCACAAACGCCGCCATCAGCACTTTCGCTTGGAATATTCGCCATCACAGATAGAGAGTGAGGTCATACGGTGGAAAGAGATGCAATTCGATCCCAACCCCTCTTGCTGGCGATGCAGCTCAATTCATTGACAGCCACTACTTTGGACGCTTTTTTCGGAAGCTGAATTTGCGTCAATTACGACCTTTTTTGGATCTTCGAGACCGGTTCGTAAAATGAGTTCAACCGAGTATTGGCCCGGGAGTACTGTTAGAACTGGATTCTGAGCGCTGGACTCATCTGGTATAACAGAAATTGGGAGGCGTTTGTGTTTTGGAATCCTCAGAGATGAAGATTTCAATAAAAGAATGGAGTTGGACCCAAAGCGTAGTTTTCATTGGTTTACCGGGTACCAAGTATAGCACCCTGTACAGTACTCTTAGTGCAGATGCCATAATGAGTTCTGTTGGCACATGCGTAAGCCGCATGTGACTTCTTTTCAAATAGTGATGAGAAGTCCAGACTTTTCTTGTCTGGACTTCTCATCACTATTTGATCCCCTCACCACAGGAGTAAAAAAATCCGACTGCGCTTTGAAAACCACGTCTATTTCTGGCTTCAAAGGTGACCTGATTTGCACAATCTGGGTCCTGGCGGAGGCGATGGCTTTGGAGAATCTCTTTTCTCGAATGCATGCTTTGTCTGTCACAACGAAGGGGGTCCAATTGGGGTTTGTGCAATACGTTGCAAAGGAGAAACAAGAAAAGGATTGCTCCTGTATTGTAGCTTTTCTTGGCGCTACTTGGTGCCAGCATCATTGCTCGTAGAAAAGATAGGCCACCAACTTTAGTGAATTCGCAGATCCACTTCTTCGGAATGATAAAGGCTATTAGTACAACTTCTTTCGCTGCCATGCTCTGTATATATTTCTGTCCATGGTTCATGCCCCTGTCTAACAAATGCACCTACAAGAGTAGGTCTTGGTACGCGCTATCATGAGGGATTTTTAATTCGATAAAGGCAGACCCCATTTTTGCAAACGGAATATTAAAGTCCTCCTTCATAATTTCGGTTTCGCGCCGGATCTCGCAGACGAGAGAGTTCAGTACTCCCTGATACAGCTCCAAAAGGTACTCGACACGAAACAGAATCACAAAGGACTTCGGAAATTCTTTGTATGGCGGGTAGACATACAGCGACAATTTTTCTTCACACAGTCGTGTCTGACCCTAGAACGAGATATTTACTCCATGTCCATAGAAATGCTTATCATTTCTTAGGAAGAGAAACCTTTTTTTCCTTGTCGCAAAGAAGATGCCGTTTTCTTTATCAGAAAAGATTTTGATCAAACCCCACACCCTGATGATGAAGCATAGAAAAGAAGTTTGTGAGGCTTGATTGATGTTTTGGTTTTTCGCACTGGTTTTTAGTTGTAATTTCAAAGTTTTTGTTGTTCCGCGAATGCTTCCAAGTGGGAGCATAGCAGCTGTAAAAAAGGGCAAGGAAGGGTGGAGGCACCCGGAAGTCCCGGAAGGGGAGAGAGGGTAGAGAACAACCCGAACACTCCACCAACAAAGTCTCCTTCACAATACTGTACTATTTTCGAACGAATTACGAGGCTCGGATAGATATTGTATGCCCACGTGAGACTTCAAATATACATTCCTGGTAAACTCAGAAATATATATTTGAGGTCTCACGTTGCCCCCGTTTTCAGGCAACTGTACAATGGATAAATATCACTTCACCAAAGTGCGGTATGGGGCAATGGTAACGAAAAAAAGACCCCACAATAATAACCGTATCACCCCGTCACAATGCTCTGGGCAACTGAAAGAAGGCATGGCAAGCATGACTCCCGAAAGGTACGTTTGTAAAAGCGGGTTTGTTAGTTGTTGGACATTTCGGAAAAATTCGTCGTCTGCGAGAGATTGAGACTCAAGGAAAGCGATTCATCTGCAATGCCCGAGGCCTCCTTCTGTCCCTCCGGGCCCCATGTGATAGTACTTTGTACGCAAAACCGTGTGCGCGCAGCAGTTTTACTGTCGTGCTGCATCGTGTAGTAGACGTGCGATCCACTACGCCAGTCTTGCGACTATGCCACGTCTGCAGACATGACCCCTCGTGCCTGAGGGATCTCTTTGGTTGACAGCAGTATACAGTAGGGGGCTATGGTCGACCATCCTCACTGGGAATGATGCAGTTAGAGGCGACATTTTTATATCACAAGGACGATCGTTGTGTCCCACTATCTGGTCTGGCTCCACGAGCGTTCTTAACGGATTTAGCTCGTTCAGCAGCATGCAGATTTTCGACCCTTCATGAGAGCGGTTTTCTGATAAACAGGGGCAATCGTAGATGGAAGAGTTTTGTTAGCAATGTACGGAATAAGCATTGAACAGAATAGGCGTGCACACTCAATGGTTTGGTACAGGAAGCTAGAACATCTGACTCGAAGCAAGCAGGCAGAGTCAACTATTGCGTGCGTGATTATCTTGAAGCTTTGTTCAGTACTCGTAATCTATCAAATGCACAGCAAGAATATAGGCAGCACAAAGGGCAAGCAGGTTACCCACACATGATGACTCACAAATGCTCGATGACGCAATGCAGCGGCAGCTACCAACCCCAGTCCGACGAACTACCGCTGCTGCTAGAATCGGTATCCGATCTATTCCCGCCACCGCCGGAGGCCCCGGCGCCACCATGTCCGCCTCTCCCCCCTCCATGGCCGCCGCGGTGGGCGGGGCCACCATGTGCGCCTCCGCGGCCACCTCCGCGGCCACCTCCGCGGCCACCCCTATGGGCGCCTCTCCTGGCGCGTCCGCCTCTACGCCTCCTGCCCCTCCTGCCCAGGGCTGCGCCGACCATCTTCTCGGGGTCGCCGAACTTGTTGGGGTTTTTGATGAACATGTTTGCGAGCCTGTTGACGGCGGCGTTGGACGAGCTTCCGCCGCCGCGGCCGTGGCCGCGGCGCGCGGCGTGGGCGCCCGCGGCGTGGGCGTAGCGGCGGTACTTCTGCTGGGACTTGTGCTTGCCGTTGCCGCCGCCCGCGTACTTAACGGCCTTGCCCAGCAGGAAGCCAAGGTCGCGGTCGGAGGTGTCGCCTTGGTCGCGCGCTAGCGAAAGCAGGTCGCTCGCGGAGAGGTCGTCGTCGGACATGGTGGCGGGGCGTGGCGGCGCGGCGTGCAAATGGGTGGGAGGGACTCTGCGGGGCGGCACGGAGGTGGGCGGGTGGATGGTGGTGGACGAGGATGGCGGTTATATATAGACAGGTTGGTGTGTTGCTGCTCCAGGGGCCAGGTGGCGGAGTGATTCTATCTCGCGGGGCTGGTGATGGAGATATTTTTACAAGCTACAGTACAGCGCGACGCAGTACCAAGGGTACAGCACGTAGCGCAACGGAGACACGTGGTGTTGAGTCGAAACTGTGGACTACCCTTCGGTAGTCAAATAGATGTGCGCGGTGGGGTTGCTCTTATTAGAGTAAGAGGATGCTCGACTGAGAGAGGGTGAGAGGGTGGCGCGAGATACCAAGGGTACAGTACTGGGCGATGAAGCAGTCAGAAGAGCCGCCGCAGAGCAAAGCCCTGCGCAGCAGCTCGAGGGCAGGCGGGATTCGGTCGAATCCTACCGTTGCCGCCCGATTCGTCCGTGGTGTGTCGAAGCAGATATGGGCGGACGTGTCTTGCATCCCGGCTTGTCCTATGTCACCGTGACGAGAACCTCATCCTCTCATGCCCGCCTGCTTCTTTTTGGGAAACTTGCGGTTGTTGAAAGCGGCTCTAGATGATGGCTCACTCGTAGCCTCCCCCCCCTGACGAGAACCCCCCCTGCGTGTACACTAATCATCGGGCCTCGTCCGGGTGTAAGCTCCAT